CGGACTCGACTTCGGTTATTAGTATAAAGCGATCGTAATGTTGAAATTAACTTCTCGGGCACTCCCTTAAGAAAAAGGTAGTACCAGAGTTTAGAGCGGTCGACTGAGTCCAAAGCCGCTTTCAAATCGACAAAAACAGAGATGGTGGGTCTACGAAAAGAATCTCGGTGCTCCAGAATTTGGCTCAGAGTGAAGATGTGGTCGATATAACCTCGACCGCGTCTAAAACCAGCCTGGTTCTCACGCGTGCACCGTTCGCGAGGGGCAGACAATCGGTGGAGTATGATGCCAGCGAGGAGTTTAGAGACGATGTTGATTAAACTAATTCCTCTATGATTTTCACAAGAAGACCTATCACCTTTCTTGTAAATCCGTATGATCACCGACTCACACCGTTCAGCTGGAACCTCCTCTCTTTCCTATATTGAGCCCAGGAGTTTTGCCAACTCCAAGACTAACGCTGACTCTCCATCTTTAAACGCTGATGGGAACAGCCCATCGGGGCCAGAGGCCTTATGCCTTTTGAGATAACTCCATTTCAGATGGAGCGCTAGCATCAACTGGGAGTATTTGTCCATTCGAGGCGGAGAGTAACTGATAAGATGTCGATGGGGCCAGTTGAATTGAGCCTTGAAGTGTTCAGCCTAACGGTCAAGACGGCGTTGCTGATCGTGAATCAGTGTGCCATCGGATTCCTTAATTACCTCACTTACGCCTATTTTCCTAGGACCCGTATTCTTCATTAGACGGAAAAGGTTACGACTCTCACCATCTCTTTACACTTCTCTACCCACCACTTCTCGCGGTCATTCCTCAAACTCTTGATGAGCTGGCGTTTAAGGGATTTGCGCGCTGTGTCGTATGTGGCATCCGGAGGAAGGGTTCTGCGGGCGTCCAGCAGGGCAACTGAGGTCGACGATATCCATCGCTTGTGTTTTGAGCTTGTGGCAGGGTCCGACGTTATTTTTATCCGTATATGCATAGCTTCCTTGATTTGCTTCCAGTGTTCATTGAGTCCTTCGGCTGGCGGTTGAGCAAACAGGCAATCGGAGAGCTCCGCTTCGAAGGCCGATTTGCATGAATCGCTCACACTGTATCGCGGATATCCGTTGTCGGTGGCTTTTTTCGGTTGTTTGCTAGGCGTAAGGAGAACTCGTAACAAGGCGTGATCTGTGTCCAC